AAAAAAAAAAACATCACAATCATTATCTTTTGTTCAGGCATGTTTTCCTCCAAGACAAAAGAAGCAAACAGCCTCGATAAGCAGGCTAAGGAATAGAAATATTAAAATTAAAATACGATATCGGGAACAAATAAAAACATAAAACTGAGAGATGCTCAATGGATACTTCGAAGTTTTTTGTCAAATTCATCGAACAAAAGCATTTTCTTGCGCACATGAGGTGTGATATAATTGAGAAACTTTAAAAGCAGGTTATATACAAGATTAATGTCCCCCCCACTTACCACACCAACAAGATCACCAAGATCTCTTGGAGCAATACCAAGGCCTGTGCAAATTCCTCCAGCAGACGGACTAGACGATGTTACAAAAGGGTACGTCCCAAAGTCAATATCCAGCATAGTAGCCTGGCCACCTTCTACCAAAATCTTCTTCTTCCGAGATATAGCATCATTCATGAAATGCACAGTGTCTGTAATAAACGGCTCCAATTTATCCGCAAGACCCTTGTATCTCTCGACCTCATCCCTCAGCACTTCAGGGCTATAGTCAAAACCTCGGAATCTCGATGCAGCGTCAGATAACAAAACATCGAGCTTCTGAGGGAAAGTGTCCATATGCCTCAAGTCACTCACTCTTATCCCATTCCGTATAACTTTGCTCGAGTAGCAAGGCCCGATGCCACGCCTGGTGGTGCCGATGAATGATTTCGCAAGCTCCGCTTCCCTAAGCCCGTCCACAATCTGATGGAGATCGAACAACAGGTGAGCACGGTCCGAAACCAAGATCCTCCCTTTGCACGAAACGCCGTTGGCTTCGAGTTTATCGATTTCATCAAAAAAACCAGGTAGATGCACGACAACTCCATTACCGATTACACAAATAGTTTCCTCGTTAAGGATGCCTGAGGGAACAAGGTGGAGAGCAAACTTCTTGCCTTCGGAGTTATAGATTGTGTGTCCAGCGTTAGCTCCACCCTGGCATGAGATGGTGTTTAAGGATTCAGAATGAACGAGCTAAAATATAAAAATAATGTTTCTTTTCATGCATTTCAGCCACAGACAAGTAGTATATCAACAAAAAGTATTTTAACCCAATAATGCATACTTGTCAATTGTCCATTGCAAATGGAGCTGGAAGAGTCATTGTTGACAATTCTCCTGACATAGTGCTAATAATGGACTAGATCAAAATATCTCAATTAAATTCTAATGCTTCTTCTATTAGTGAAGTTTCTAGAAAAAAAAAAATATATCAAACGACGCAATGCACCTTGGGTCGCTACGGAAACAACTTCCTTGTATAATTACAAGGATAAGGTCTGCGTACAACTGACCCCCCAGACCCCAACCAGTTGGGAATATACTGGGTATGTTGTTATGTTGTTGTTGTTGTTGTAATGCATATTTGTCAAGGGTTCCTATCATGTCACATGAGAACCATCATGTACCGGCACATAGAATTACACTTCTCCACTGGTGATCTTTTCTTTGAACAAGCAGGTGTGTTCAGTGGAATTCACAGTTTCGAAATTATGAACGAAAATCAGAGTCCAGAAAGAGAACAGGACAATTCTTCGCCAGAGCTCAAATAATTAAAGACCAGCAACTTTGCTATAAATTTCAGTAACAGTAATTCATAACCCATTCGAAAAAAAAAAAAAAAAAAATAGCATTTTTGGGGTAAGGGGAGTACAATCTATAAAAACAAGCAGCTAAATTTTCGATGGGAAATGCAAATCACTGCATAGAAAATAACATAACATCACAAAACGTTACAAATGTTATTAGCAAGTTAGACATTTTTCAAGAAGACCAATTTTTGCGCAGCTAAACCAACAGAGAGATACCCAATTCGAAAGAACAGACAAGTAACACAAATAAAGAAATATAAAAAGAAAACGAGCTTCTGTGTAAACACAAATTATACATACCTGACAACGAGCCACGATATCGAAGTGCTTGGCGAGAATATCCACCAGCTTTCCTTTACCTTCGTCCCCCCACTGACACCCAAGAACGCCGGAGACTTGACTCAGAGACTCAATCCGGCTCAACCCCGATCCAGACTCGCCGATTTCTTGCTGTATCACCGTGGAGCCGCTCTTCGCGGCGGCGCAGAGAAACGCCGGCTTCTGGGGGTTACTGTTGGGAAGATGGAGCTGGATTTGGGGGTGGGACCCGATAAGCTTCCCCAGGTGGGGCCCTCCCAGCGTGCGCGGCGCGGAGGATACGGAGGCTGGTGAGGACAGGTTCATGGCGGCGGCGGCGGAGGAGGAGGAGGAGGAGGAGGAGGAGATAAATGGAGGGTTTGAGGAGGGGTTCCGAGGTTGAGTGAAGAGTCAACAGATTTCATGTCACTCATTTTTATTATTAAAATAATAAATTAGTTTAATTACTTAAAATAACCCAACCAATAGTGTATCATTTGACATTTTATTTATAAAATAAAATTAACTACCCTTAATAACCCATTCAATTGTCAATTTTGGATAAGTAAATTTCATCCTACCCACAAACATTTGGACACTAAATTAGCGGATTAAATAAAAGTTATCCATAGGTCCAATTAATTAATTATCCATGAAATAAATATTACTTAATTGATACGTAAAATAATTAAAATTACTTATATTCTCAATTTTTTATTACATTTAACTATAACTTCATATTTCATAAGTTATTTTGATTTGCTACTTACCACATAATAAAATAGGAACTGCAATAAAATTAGTTAATTATCCCAAATTTCTAATTTAGTTTCAAAATATTAATTACTAAATAAAATGATAATTAAGCTACTATTATATGAGTAAATTACAAATAATTCTTTTAGTATGTTTTCATAGGCTGTCAATGCTTGTACGGTACAACTTCTTGTAGACGCATCCCGACCCGCACCACACCACCACCGCACTGGCCTTCTCTCTTCTTGCGGGGCGCTCCAAAAACAAAAGGCAAATATTTATAATTTATTTCTTTTTAGTTGTTTATCATCTCTTTCGTCGATTGAAAATCGTGGGTTTTGTTCACATTTTGATGAAATTTATGCCCTAAATTTATTGTTGCAAGAGCTCCTTTTTCTCCATCTTATTGCTGTTGAAATTAGTTTGAATCAGAAGCTGATCCATACGTGCGTGTATGTGTCAATGGCCATTCCAGCCGCTGTTGTTATTCTGCCGCTGGGCGTGCTCTTCTTTTTTTCTGGGCTTGTCGTTAATTTAATTCAGGTATGTTTCGTGAAAGAAAGAGATGATATAATAAAGCATGTGTTTTGCAGAGATTTTTCCTTTTACGGCCGTTTTTTGTGAGATTTTATGTTGTTTTCCGGGAGAAAATCAGTTGGGCTTTTGTGGGATTTTTTCAAAATTGTATTTTGAGCTGACGTGCTTGAGGGGTTTGATTTGTTCATATCATGGTTATGTTGCTATGAACTAAGTGACAAGTGCTTTTTCAGGCAGTGTGCTACGTGTTAATAAGGCCCTTGTCGAAGAATTTTTATAGGAGGATAAACAGGGTGGTGGCAGAACTTCTATGGCTCGAGCTTGTGTGGCTCATCGACTGGTGGGCTGGTGTCCAGGTGAAGTTTTTAAGTTTAGCTATCTTATGCTAGTATATGTTTGTATCTTATGGTTCAAATTACGCGGTTGGTGTATTTAACCTGTGAGTTGGATAAAAAGCTAGTTAGTATGAAGGTGTGATTTATTTTGCTAGTGCGATGGAGTTGACAATTGTGAGCTTGATGTAAACCATTTTCTTCTTAAACGAATCGACGTATAGATTTGACTGTGGATTTGAAACATTATAGGTTCCTACCTATAGCAATAGATGGAGCTATCTAAAGTTTAATTCATTGAAGTGAGCTGTTTCCGTAAAATGGCATGTTGAGAATCCATCTGGTAGGCCTTGTTTATTTAGGTTTCCGTATCAACTCAAACAAACAATAAATAAAAGAAGAATCCTAATATAATCCCATCTGATTCGATCAATTTAGATCGATACCTTTACTGGTCTTAGATTACTAGTGGTGAGTATTTCGTTAATGATTGTCAGCACTCATAGGTCATGTTACAATCGAAATCGTTTTGTAATATAACTAAAATTAAGCTGAAGCAGTTCCTTTTTTTTATATAAAATTATTGTACTGTTTCCTAACTGGCATTTATTTGCAGATTAAAGTGTACACAGACTCTGAGACCTATAAACTGATGGGTAAGTCAAAATGGTTTCTTTTTATAGATTTGACTTGATTGTTCGCCAGAGAATCTGATCTTGTGTGAGACGCTTATATTTGGTCATGGTGGGTAATTTCCAGGTAGAGAGCATGCACTTGTCGTATCTAACCACAGAAGTGATATTGATTGGCTCGTTGGATGGGTTTTGGCGCAGGTTTATGCATCTCTGTTTTCATAATGGAGAGAATATGAGTTTTTTTATCCATATTAAATATGTAGATGGATAAGTGGATGTCGTTTGATATTGAAGGAAAAGTACCAATGTTTTCATGTTCGGATATTGTTATGGTGTGTTTATTATTAATTTTTATTTACTTATTTTTCTTTTTTGTGAGAGTTATTGCTGAGATTTTGGCCTGATCTGTTCCAACTGCATTCCGACAATGTAATAGGGTCTTTAGTCATCTATTGTCATCATTACTATTATTAAACTTTTTACGTATTCACCTTTGGATGTATTTTAATTGACAGCGTTCAGGCTGCCTCGGTAGCACTTTAGCTGTTATGAAGAAATCATCGAAGCTCCTTCCTGTAAGTATGTGATATAGTAATATTGACCTTGTTAACTAAAAATTCTAAAGGTGATTTTTGTTTGTTTGTTCGTCATGAGCTGAAAGTACCAGTCAAAGGAGGTTTTAGAAATTTGGATTAAAATTATTTTTAAGTTTTTCTTTTTCTTACCTTATATTTTTCTTTTTTTTTCTCCAAATATACTTCGAAAATCTTGTCAAGTAAACAGAACAATTATTGCAGGTCATAGGATGGTCAATGTGGTTCTCTGAGTATCTCTTTCTTGAAAGAAGCTGGGCAAAGGATGAAAGCACCTTAAAGGTACTGTCAGCTGATAAAACAGCTTTTTCATTAACTTGTCATTATGCATGTTTTTTTTTATCTTCTTCT